CCGGGCGGCGGTGCACGTAGTAGCAGGGGCCGGACAGCGCCAGCGCCGAGCCCAGCCCCAGCAGCTCCGCGGGCGACAGCGGCAGCGCGTCCATGTCGGCCCCGCCGCCCGGGGGAGCTCCGCCCTGTCCCACCCCGCGGCCTGCTGGGAAGTGGTCCGCGCGGGACTACCGCTCCCGGCGTGCCTTGCGGGCGGCCGCCCACACTGCCGTTCCCGGCATGCCGTTTCCCCCCCACACACACACGCGGGGACTACAACTCCCAGGAGCCCCCGCGCGGCAATGCCTTGCTGGGGGGGTGCAGCTGCCCCAGGGCATGGTGCCTGTCCCTGGCTGCCCCTGCTGCGCTAGGCTGCCAGGCCCAAGCAGGCCCCTACGCCTTGGGGTGCAGCTGTGTTGGCTGCGGTGGCTGGGCCACACTGGCTGTGTGGGGGGCTCAGATGAGCCAGGATGAGGCCCCTGCCCCCTGCAGCGGGAGGGCCCAGCCCTGACGGGGACGCTGGACTGGCTTCGATTCAGCAGAGCGGCCCGGCCTGGGTCGCGGGGTCCCAGAAAGGGCTGGTGCTCGTCTTCATGGCCAGACCTCCCGCGCCTGTGCCTGTGTTCAGACCCCCCGGCCCTTGCTCTGTTGGGCTACGTGAGCCGATCTAGTCCCGCTCCTGGCTCTGGAGCTGCCCTGTCCGGATGGATCCAGGCATCCTGTGGCTGCTTTCCTGCCCCTTCCTTGGTGCGCGGAGCCACCTGCCCTGGCTGTTGTGCGCGGATGTGTCCCCTCCGGTGCTGCTTGGATCACCCGGCCTGCGGGACCCGTCGCTTTCCCCTCTTGGACCCCCCCGCCCCGCATGGGGCCCACGGGTTAAAAACGCCACGGAGCCCCCGGCGTAAGTGGAAACTGCTTTTAATCCTTCAGTAACTCCCACCAACCAAAGCTAGTCGAAGGCACCGGTCCCCCTCCCCGCACCCCCAGATTAAAGCCAATGGGGAGTTTCTAAGACAAGCCGGTTTGAGATTATAATGAGCCTATGGAGTTTAAGAAAATGCCCCAAAAGCAAGAGCCCGTTGTGTTCGGAGATGCCTTGTTTGATTGGCCTTGTACAGGTTGGGGACAGGCTGCCCTGGCATAAGCTGTTGCAGGAGGGGTGGGGCCAGGGGGCAGAAGCTGGGAGGGAGCTGCATTTGGGGGGGTAGGGGGCTTTGGTGCCAGCCCTGGGAGGGCTGCACCCCCCTGGTTACTAGCAAGGATTCCCTGGCCACAGAGGGAGCCTGGGTTTGCATTTGGTTTAAAAAGATTTTAAAAAAGAAAAAAAAAAATGCCCTGGATGTTGTCTGCATGCCAGCCTGGTGCTGCAGACACCGTGATGTGACACCCCCTGTTCTGGCCCATGCCCCTCACCTCCCTCCCCCAGGATGGGCTGGCAGGCAGTGCACTGGCAGGGTCCCAGCTGGGGGTGGGGGGCGCTCGCTGTCCCTCCCAGCCTGCCCATGCCAACCCATGCCCCTTGGCCGACTGGCCTGCCCCAGGGGTCTCCAGGGTTGTGCCCTCTCACTGGCCTCCTCAGTCCCTACGTGTTTTGTTGCTCCAGTACTGCCCCCTGGTGCCCACACCCAGTGCCTGGCAGGCACTGCTCTGAGTTAGATCGCTGCCAGGCTCGGCAGTGCTACGGTGTTCAGGGGAGGGCTGAGAGGGACAGGCCAGGGCTGCCAAGAGCCAGCCTTTGGAGGCTCCCTCAGTCCATGGCTGTCTTGGGCGGGCAGAGCTTGGTGAGGGCCTGAGACGGGCAGGGCTGGTTCGTGTGGGAGCTGCAGCTCCTCCCAGCGAGGGGGGCAGGTGCTGAGGGCAGGTGTGGATCAGCGCTGCTGGGGACTGCAGGGGAAGGGGCTGGGTCCCTGGCTCTGCTCAGCTGGAGGTGCAAGATGCTGCCCCTCAGTCACTGGGGCCCGGGCGTCCTGCTCCAGCGGGGGCTGGGAGGGGGTCTTCATGGGCCTGCTGCTGCCTGCTGGTGTCCTGGGAAGATGGGTGCGCAGGTCCGGGTGCAGCGGCTGCCTGTGCTCCCTACCACACGTCGCAGTGCTTGCCGGGGTTCATGGGCGAGCTGGCCGCGCAGCCAAAGTGCTCGGCAAAGTCTCTGGAGTTGCTGAGGGTGCCGATGACGCGGAACTTGTCCGGGCTGTGCGGGTCGGTGACCAGCCCCTCATGTGAGCTCTCCGGGGTGCGCACTGAGCACCACACCTGTGGGAGGCACGGCCGTAAGGGGCGCACAGGCCTGGGCCCCTCCTCAGGTGCTGGGGGCTCCTGCTTGGCCTGGCAGCCCCTGCCTTAGCTCTGCAGAGCAGCAGGGCTTCTCTGGGCTGGGGAGGGTGTGAGGACAGCCCAAGCATGCCCCAACTACAGTGGGGGCCATAGAAAAAGAGGGGGCTGGGGAGTTGTGAGAAGGGAGCTGGGAGTAGGCCTGAGCTTGTGGGGCAGAAAAGGGCCCTTTGAAGGGGTTGGACCATGCTGGGCCTGAGCCAGATGGGACCACATAGCCCTGATGACGTGCTTGTAGGGCCTTCCCTCATGGGTTCCTTTTCTACTGATGTCAGGCTTTAAAAGCCACAGGCACCATGATGGCAAGCAGGGAATGCAGGTTGGTCCCTGGGGGGGCAGGCACGATGGCTGGGGAGGGCATGGGAACATCCAGGGGTGTAGGTCAGCCACTGGACAGAGCGCAAGGTTGGGACCAAGGGGTACTGGTTGAACTCTGAGTCCAGTTCGCACCAGGGCTGGGACAGCAGGGGGTGGTGGGTCAGGCATGAACAATCTCAGCAGAGCTGTGTGTTGGGGACTGGGTAGCCAGTGGGCTTCAAGGAGGATGGGGGGCACTGGCAGAGCTGTGTGGCAGGGGGGCCCAAGGTTGGGGCAGGAGTGACACAGGCTGGCACTGAGTGGCATGGGGGAATGCCTGACTGCTAGCAGAGCCCTGCAGGCCAGGGTTATGGTGCTGGTCAGGGTGCAGCACCAGGGTGGGGGCAGCTGCCCTGCTATAGCATGGTACCTGTGCAAAGCCCACAAAGAAGAGCTGGTGGTTGGTGAGCCCCACGGCTGGCAGGCGCTTCTCCTCCCCGTTCCTCTGCAGCCATGCTTTGTAGGCCTGCAACGAGCCCGCAAGGTTGGCTGTGAGTCGGGAGCAGAGACCAGGGAACTTCCCCTTGGTATAGCAGGGGGCGGGAGGGGCACCCTGGGCAGGTGGTTCGGGACACTCACGTTGTAGGCAGCTTTCAGACCCCCATTGTCGGCGATGTTCTCGCCCAGGGTCTGCTTGCCATTGACGTGCTCCCCATTCACCGCATACTTGCTGTACTGCTCTGTCATGCACTCTGTCCGGTTCTTGAAGGCCTCCAGAGAAGAGTTCTGCCACCAGGGACGCAGGTTGCCCTCCTTGTCATATTCCCGGCCTGGAACACAGTCCCGGGCGCCATCAGCAGCCAGTGAGGGCCTTGGACCCCCCTGTCCCAACGGCCTGGCACAGGACTTGGCTGCCATCCCCAACACGGCTCCCGTTTCGGCCTGAGCAGCCCCCAGAGGTTGCAGGCAGCCTGAGAGGTAAGTCATGCAGGACTGTGCGATGGCTCAACAGAGTGTCTGGCAGTGGAAAGGCCACTGAAATGGAGCAGGGTGCAGGAAGGGAGGGATCAAGTTCAGAGCAGGCAAGCTGGGGGTGAAGGGGCAGTGGCTTGGAGGGGCTCAGGACAACTTCCCAAACCATGGTGCCCCTGGGAGGGAGTTGCAGGGAGAAGCAGGGACTCCTCAGTGTCTTTCCATAGCCTGACAACAGTAAGGGTTTTCCTCCCAGCACACATCTTTTTTGGTGGCAGGGGACACTGAGAAAACAGGAAGCCAGATTCTGTAGCCCACTTTGTGGTTGGGTTTTGTGGTGAGACTGATGCTGCGGTCTTTGGGGTGAGCTGGCCAGAAGCTCAGTTGATGGCTTTGGGCTTTCCCTGCTGCCATGGGCTGGACTGGAACCAGCAACCACAGGGTGAAAGTCTCCACTCCTGATGCGCTGAGCCTGTATGTCTCCTATTCTGATGGCAGCATGCGTGGGGAAGTCCCGCTGTTCCCCAGCCAGATACTCTCTGACCCTTGGCATGGGGGCCCTGATCCCCCCGAGCTGCCTTTTGGGATCCACTGGGACCTGGAGAGCATGCAGAGACAAGGGATGGACACAGATGGACCCTGCTGGCTGAGGGGGGCAGTGGGGAGAGGAGGCCAGGAAACACCCACACTAGCCATGGCCCGAGATGCAGACATGGGTCCTCACCAAGCAGATGGAGCAGAAGCAAAAGCTGCGCGGGGAAGCCTGGGGAGATGCCTGCAGGTGTCACCTAGGGAGACAGGAGGACAAACAGATGGGGAGGGAAGCCAGCAGCAG